CCGCCACCTCCGCCGCCGCCGCCACCTTCCCGACTTCTCCGGAGGGGAGAAGAAGAGGAAGGGGGACGGCAAGAGGAGGCCCGCCCTGGGCGGCCGGAGGCCAAGTGTCGGCCGGCGCCCTCTGCTGGCCAGGAGGAGTTAGTTACTGCGGCCGCGCTGAGGCCTGAATTTGGGCGGGGGCAAAGTAGAAAAGATACAAAGGTGCTGGTGATGATAGACAGTATTTATTAGAGAGCTTATATGTGCTAAGCGCATTACCTGACTTAACTTCCTCCCCTGCTCAGAACTCTCCAAGGGCTGCCCACTGCTTTGGGGATAATTCTAGGGTTCCTCACTGTGCCTTAAAAGGCGCTCCCTCATCTAACCCAACCTCCCTCTGTCCTCTGTCACCATCCTGGTTTCTCACTACACTGGCTTTCCGTTTGTACCCCACACACGACAAGCTCCCTTCTGACCCAGGACCCTTGCCCTGCTGTTCTTTCTCTATTAAGGTTTCTCAGTCCTGCCTCTATTCACATTTTGGACTTGATAATTTTTTGGTGAGGGGGATATTGCGTTGAGGGATATTGCACGGCATCCCTGGTAGCCTTTACCCACTAGATGCCAGAACGACCCCCTCCCCACACCCTCCGTGTGGCAATCAAAAATGCCCACACACTGCCAAATGTGGAGCCATGGTAGACAAAGATGTAGTCAGTTCATTTATGCACGCTTGGCAGGTAAACTTCCTCCACCCAACCAACCTATTTAAATTTGCGACCCACCTTCCTGAAAGTAGCCCTCCATGAAATAGCTGTGTTGGGTTTTCTTCCTAGCTCTAGCTGTTTGAAATCCTGCTTCTTATTTAGTGTTTACTGAGTGTTGTCTGGGATCCCGGGTTAGACTCCAAACAGCCTGGCCCCAGCATTTTCCTCACTGCTCCACCCTCTGCCCCTCCCAGAGCTGGAAGCTAGGTGCTCAGTGTTCATGGAATGAATGCATTCAGTATCTCATTTAATCTTCACAAGATCCCTTTGGGGTAAGCATTACTGTTCTTTCCATCGCACAAATCTGGAAGCTAAAGCTCTGGGGGATTAAGTAAATTTACCGGAGGATACATATGGGAAAACTGGGATTCCAACCCAGACAGTCAGACTGTAGGACCCAAATCTCTTCATTGCTCTAAGCAAACACAGACAGCAGGATGTTAGAAATCATCCCTGCCCTCCTTTCCCAAAGGAGGGCAGGGAGACCCAGAGAGCTGAAGTTCCAAAATCACTCAGCTGGTGAATGGGAAAGTAAGATTAGAACCCACATTTCCTAATTGCCAAGGCCAGCCCTCAGACATCCCTTGAAAGTAACTGGACGAAATGCCCAAGTGAGACTTCATGTTAATATAATGCTATCAGTAATAGCTAAATATTACGAGAAAGTGATCAACAGATTTTGGATTGGTCAATGGATTTATTTTTTAACTTTCTATTAAGGGAAATATCAAACTCCCATGAGACTGTGGCCCATCGTCAATTATCAGCGCATGGCTAATAGGCTTTCTTACCCTCCCCATCCTCCCATCACCCCTCCTGTTATTTTGAAGCAAATTCCAGACAGCGTATCATTCATCTGCACATATGTTAGTTTGCATTGCTAAAATAAATAAATAAATAAATAAATAAATAAAGCTTTTTTTTTTAACTGAACCATGATACCATTAGCACACCTAAAAAATTAACGATAATTCCTTAAAAATCATGAAATATCCCAGCAAGATTTGAAGTTTCTCATTGATGTTTAAAAAAGATGCTTATAGTTTATTTTAATTCATACATTGTAGTTGGGTAATATACCGTACTAAAGTCTCTGTGTTTCTGCTCTATGTCCTTTTCCCTTGTAATTCCTTTTTTTTTTTTTTTTTTTAAGGAACTGGGCCCTTTGCCATGTTGTTTCCCACAGCCTATGTTACTTAACACCCCTACCTTTCTTAAAATTTGTGGCTGGGTCTAGTTCACTTGTTTCCAGTTCAGTTTTTTGTTGTTGTTGTTCTTGGCAAAATTTTATTTCTTTGTCTGCTTCTATCAGGCAGCCCGTGATGGGGGGAGGGGGAGGGGGGGGTCCTTTCTATCTTTTTATGATATTAGCAGCCACTGATGATCAATATCTAGATTCCTTAATTTATGAAGGGTCACAGAGTGGTGATAATCTAACTCTGTCATTCCTTCTCTGTTTGTCAGCTGAAATATTCCTATAAGGATAAACTTCCCCTTAGCTACTCTCTGGCACAGTTCCTGTCAGAAAGACAGGTTAAATGTTTGATTCCTTTCCTTTATTCACAAATTTGCAAAATAATATATTGGTTTCCTATCCCCTTGCAATGGTGATCAAGATGTTTGTCAATGTCGTGAGCGACTCAAGAAATTAAACGTAGTTGATACGTTTCATATCCTTGGTGCTCACATTGTCTCATCACTGGCCAGTGAGAGCCTCTTCAAGTTGGCTCCTGAGTCTTTTTGACAAGACCCTTGACTTAAGGTCATCTGGAGCACCCTTACACCAGGGCCCTGGGCTGTTTAGGAGAGGACAGCACTGGAATGTCCAAACCAGGCCTGAACAAAACAGGCTTACTTACCAGCCCCATTCCGGCTAAATATAAGACGCCCAGCAGACTCTTACTCATCACCAACAAATGCACTTAACCCACAGCCAGTGGCTTGCTTCTCTGTGATGCTCCCTTGTCATGTGTATGTTTTCTGGTTCATCGTTCCATGGTTTGTCATCTGATAAATGCCAAAATCAGAAGACGTGTCTGTAGCACCTTGTATAAACAGTTTACTACGCTGTTGTTTTATTACCATGTTGTTTAAAGAAGCAGCAGCGGCATTTCCAGACTATCCATCTGTAGGAAGGTGAAGTTCAGGGGAAGTCCAAAGTATTTCCTACATGTGAAGCTGAAAGTCCGTATGATGGGCTGAGTCTTGGCTTTTTCGTACTCTGTATAATATCAAAGCAGGTTTCTACTTTTAAAAATCCCAAGGGAAGTTCGCAGTGTGTCAGGCCAGACCATTTATTTACTGAAATTTGCTTATCCCTCACACCAACGTGCAAGGAGGTATTATTATCCCCACTTTATATAGGAGGAAACTGAGAGTCTGAAATACTGGTTTGCCCTAGGCCATGCTGGAAATGAAGCAAGAAGCTGGGATTCAAACCCACATTGGGCTGCGCCACCCCAGCTTCT